ATGTGCATGTGTATGGTTTACACGTAACACATATTCATTGTATGCCGAATAAAAAAAGAAACGGCAAAAATAAGTTTTAAGCTTATAAAGGTTATAATAATCTTAGTGGTTTTAAGCTCGAAGCTAGAAGGTTACAAATTGAAGATAATAGCAACATATTTCGTACCTTATCAATTACTAATAATGATCCCGGCCATAGAAATTCTTTCACATATATAATTTTCATTGATGAATATGTCAGCAGAAAGGAGAGGGGGACTTCTTTCCAAGTGTAGTCGCTAAGTCGTTTTACAGAGTAACAAAGAAGTTCTGGGCATACATTAGCGTGAACGATTGCAGGAGGAAGTGGTTGAGCTTACCCATAATCACTTTTGGTAAATGCCTTAAGAGAATGCCTTCGAAACATTGCAAAAAAACTCCAAAACAGAAATACAAGGAAATGGAAAAAATATTGAGTTAGTCTAGGTAAGGCATCACTAATAGTTAAACAGAAAGACATTACTCTTCCGTTTTAATGATGGGTGCAACATATTTTCCATCCTTAAAGGAAAGAACAGGCTGCTCCCAGTAATTAAAAACTGTCCAAAATGTCAAATAGGAAAAATTGGCATATCAAGCACTAAACGTCAAAAATGTAGCAGGAGGGCAAGAATGATCTCGTTAAGTTAGGATATATAAGTCATCAGTTCCTTTGCTCTACTGAACGAAAGTGTTAGGTGAAGCCAAACGGCTCACTGGCTCTTAAATGTTTCAGAAGTGCCCGAGCGCTTTCTTGGCTAACCTAAATATTATTACAATATTTCACAGGAAAAGCGAATAACAAAACTGCGCAAGTCCCTTCCTATATGCGCAATTAAATTGCATATTAACAAAGAATTCGCAAACAACGCAGGACTGCTATGCTATGCGATCCCGCTCCACTTTTCGTTAGCGGCATCTTTACTCTCTAATAAATTTTGTGTGGCAAGTTGTTTCGTCTTGCTTCAAAAGAATTTTCGGGCATATTCAACATTTGAAAATATCGCTCAGCTTCTTGGTTTAGAGTCAGGCCATTATCAACAATTTCAGCCTTCCTTTAACTAACTAGAGAGAACTTGAAAAGAAAAGAAAAGAAAAGAAAAGAAGAGAAAAATGTTTCCTATATACAACATTAACCTTATCACGCTTGTTTTTTTTTTCTTACTTCCCATCAATGAACGATATACTCTGCGAGCTTTCATCGTTTCATATGAAATCAATTTGAAAAGAATAAATTTTCGTGAGCATGCAGAGTGCCAATCATTTATTGATCTTTCCTTTTAGTTTTAAGGCCATAATTTATCTATTCGTAACGAATGCTTTCAAATTTACAATTGTGCATATCTCATTAAAAAATGTGGTGCTTAATGTTGTTCGTTTAATGCTGCACACAAATTTCAACACCGTCCAGTTCTCTTTCCTAGCCCGCTGTCTTTCTCTCCCTCCTCCTCTCTACTGGACAGATTCGGATTACAAAATTCATTAATGATTCGTTTTTTCAGGTCAAAAGGAGAAAGAAGATGAGGGGGGGGGGGGGGGGGGGTTATCAACTGTTTTATTTCTAAACTTTACAAATGTTAATATGCACGACAACCGGATGTTGTTTTCTTTACTATCGTTCGTAATTAATTTAACCGATAGAGTATTAAAATTTGAAGGCTTCATTGTTATAAGCACGATAAAATTAATTGGCATCGAAGATCCGCTGTTTTTGTGAAAATGGAAATTCTAAAATAATGGCAATAATTGAAAATAATGACAAGAAATGGTAATCTAATATTTTATTTTTTGATAATGTAACTAACAAAGAAGCGCAGTTCGATGGTAAACAAAAATTTTTGCCAACGAATGAAAACAACTTGACTCTACATGTACGCCTGCGAATGAATAAATGATGCATCAACAGGCAGCGGGCAAATAACAAACTGCTTTATGGAATCGGGTCCGAAGACCCTTCCTAAAACCTTCATGAAGACTTCACTTTCGCATGGAATTAGGATATCATTTTTGATATTTTGCGAAGTGGTGTCGCGCATTTAATGGTCGGTGTTATAAGGTTATCAAGTTTTCATATTTACCGTAACACCTAGAAATGTGTTGCTCAGATCAGGTGTTTACTATCGTTTCTTGGAAAACAAAATGAAAGGTCGAAGAAGTAAGAAAATGATATTTGGTCGTGATCGAATCTTTCACACCTGTCACTGCGACATTAAAAAAAGAAAAGCAAATCAATATTTTGTTAATCTATAATATTAGATGGGCACGTTTGACATTTCCTATATATGGAACAAAAGTGGTTATTTACGTGGTTCACGTGTTACGCTTTAGGAACACTAAGCAAAAAACACGAAAAGCGAGGATGTTCACAGTTTTTGGTACAAGACGTGTGGGCATCGTAGATGTGTTCTTTGAAAAGTTTAAGTCCTTTTACAATTTTTTTAGCAAGTTCGTAGGTAATATCTTCAATTTTGCGAACGGGAGCATGTTTACTCAGTTGCACAGAGGAACAAGCGGACATGCTTAAATCGATTCAGAATTCGATGCTGATCAAGAATATATATAGTTGTTGGAGCCTCTGAAGCTTCCTTCGGGTCGTTGCAAACGGTTTGACAAAGTGAAAATACCCCTCATCTTTTAGTGATCGATATGAAAATAAGATATTATATTATATCCTAAGCGAGTATGCATTAAAACCATCTAGAAGTTGGCGCAAAAACTTGCTCGATGAACTTGCTGATGATTTGCAATTTTTGTGACGACTGTTATGGCGATTATGTATTTTTTCCAAAATATGAATATTTCAGATTGAGATGTACAGCTTTCTCACTTGTACTTTCATAAGCAAAGTGCATGCAATTAAATGTGAACTTTTCTATTCCACGACATTGCTATCCTTAAGCTTACTCACGTGGGAAACACGAGAACACATGTGTGCATTATTTTTAGGTGACGACGAGTTTTACGACAACCTTGTAAGTTAGTTTAATAAATAAAAAGGCAAGAATTTCGCTAGAAGACTCTGTGCGCGCTGTCTGTTAGTGTGTTTGGGCAAATGAGTATGAGTACGAGTACACTTGGCGCACACGAGATGTAATCATGGACGATTGATCTTTTCATTTTCATTAGATGAAGGTAAAGATACCGAATTCCCTAAAGGTCGTCCTTGTACACATAAAATTGCATATGTATGAATGAATACGTTAGTGCATACCCTTAATGACTCTTGGAAAAAGGGTGTAAAGATTTACAAGTGTAGTCAAAAGCATAAACAGGTTTTAATTTTTGTGCATCGAAAAGTTGAAGTTGATGTAGAGAAATCTGTAAATGTCTTAATATTCTAGAGTATACATTATTTTAATTATGTTAAACGCGATACTTGGTGGTTGACTGTTCGTGACATACATAACTTATATCAACACAAAAGCGAATGTGCGCTTGCATGCATGTATATGCGCGCAAATACAAATTTCTAGACTCAAGCATATCAAAGTATGTATAGAGATTGTGAAAGATTTTAAGTTTGTCGTTAGTCACTAAGAAAAGTTTAGGCGGAAAATTTTTAATTGGAAAAAAGAGACTACTAAAGAGCTTATATAAATTGTTTAGAAATTGAAATTTGTTTCACATTTTTTTTTTTTAAATAAAATAAAATTTGCAAAATTTAAAGAACGCAGGCACACATGCGTAGGTACGAGCGCTCTTTCATGACATATGTATTTACAATTCGGAGGCGTTGTTCATTTCAAAGTTATTATGGTTGTTAGCAGCAAAACCAACTTTTAAACCGAGCAAAAGAAAAAAAAAAACGACGAAATGGGAGAGTAGAGAAAGAATATAAGAAATAGAGTATATAAAAACTGCTAACAATGTGACCACCGCCAACAATCCAATCATTTTTAATACGTGTGTTTTTATATACATGTGTAACACTATCAACACATAGACAAGAAGAACGACGAAACTTAGGTCTCCATGCCAAGAAGCTAGCAAACAAGCAACCACCAAGCAGGCAACCGACCGATGCTCACCAAAAAGGGAGTAATGACCTTTGAGAATATACTATCTGCAGAGCTGTGCTTGCTGGCGATGATGTGATAGTAGGTTTTCACTTATTAGTGACTATTCGTTCAACGGTTTGCTGCTGTCTGTATAATGACTTGTCTTGTTTAAGAACTCTT